GTGTGTGTGTGTGTGTGTGTGTGTGTGTGTCATTTTCTGTGTAGGTGTCGGGTCTAAATGTTTCAGGAAATTTGAGTAATTTAGCCTCCATTTTCTGAGAAAACTAGCGTGTGAGACAGGGGTGTAGGTGGGGTTTTGCTCTATTTTTAAAACTTTTTTTGTTGTTTGCTTTGTTTTTGCTCCCAAGCAGAAGTTTCACTTCTCCACCAGTGGAAATGTGTAAACACTATAGGTAAACCAAGTGGGATGTGTGGTTTTTCTGTTAGTAGATTTCTCAGGCTACTCTGCTTTTGTTACAAAATTATGGTGTTCACTCAGTATAGAACAGTATAAATGTAGAACAAGCAAATATGATCTATGATCACTGTTCTACCTTTCAACAAATACTGTATACCATATAGCAATTTTATGATTTTATAAGTATTAAAAACGCACTTCAAATGTCAAGTGCATAGTTTTGAGCAGAGGTCTATAAAGTACTTGGAAAAAAAAAACTAAATCGTATTACATGAACAGAAAATGACTTTGGCAAAAATAAATTTCAAAATACTCAAGTAAAAGTCATAAAACTGTTCACAAAAATTGGGAAAGTAGAAGTCCTTTTACACACTCGGTAAGAAATAAACTGTTGAATTTGCTGAACGTTAAGTAAATTGAGCAATGTATGTATATTATTTGCTCATTTCACTCGACTAGGATTAGTGGAGCCAGCTGACGTGACTTTGAGTAAATTCAACACTTCGTTTTTTTAGAGCGCATAAACATCTTTCATGAGTTTGAACGGATTTAATTTTGTAACGCGTAACTAGGTGTTATATCTTCAAGTAAAGAAGTAAAAGTATCATTTTTAGCCATAAAATGTAACAAAATAAAAATAAAAGCAGCTATTTAAAAAAATTATTAGTAAAATTACAATTCCTCAAAAAACTAGTTAAGTACTGTAACGAAGTAAATGTACTTAACCTGTAGTTTTGATTAGATTTTACATTATACGTAACTAAACTAAAGACTTCAGCACTTTACATTAGTCATTTACCCAATAATACATTACATTCCCAACAACATACCACTGATGTAAGTTACATTGCAGCCACAGCTGCCCTGGGGCACACTGACAGAAGTGAGGCTGCCTCTGACCTCCAGCAGCCATCTTAGTTCAACTATGTCATGAATGTGAGCAATGGACTGGTTAGGCAGTGTGCAGTGAAGGGCTTCTATTACAGTTTCAACCAGTGTGCAGCAGAACTTCAGGGTCAACCATTAGCATTGGTTCTGCTGCCCCCTAGTGAAAAACATTGAGGCATTACAAAAACTCATTATCCACAGCAGAAAACTCACAGCTCTATGAATTAGTTGACTTTACAGAAATAGTTTCATTTTGTTCAGGCTGACAAACTCATAGATAAGCCTAGTCTTTATTCATGCAATCATAACTTCATACACCTTTACATTTCAGTCAAACTTGCATGACATGGTTATTTATTAGTGCGGACAGATGGACAGCACCAACTGCTAGCTAGCTGTAGCATTTCCACCAAGAATATACAGTACTTGTATTTCTGCTTGTGTACAACTATATAAAAGGGAACCAGTGCTCACAATCATGGCGATAATTCATTTTAGGCCTAGCTGTACTCAAACTAGCTGTTATCTCATTAACAAGGCCAGGATTAAACCATTCCTACAAACTGAGGATATTCAAATAGTTCAACAGGTGAGATATTAAGTGTTCATAACTTCCACAGAACCGCTCCTACACAATACCTTTAATGGTTACCTTTTTTTTTACTGTTCCCATTACCACAGACAAACCACAAGTTTCTGCTTTTCTGTATCGCATTAACTTTAATTACATGGAAACTAATAAAAATGGTGCAAAACCAGAAAAACCTTTACTTCAAAATGGGAAATAAATCACATGCGAGAGTCAGTTCAGTGTTAAACTCTCAATGTGAAACCTAGCTGGAATTTGATGCAATGCCACGGTTTATTTTCGAAATGAAGACAATTTCCGGAAGGATTATTTTATTGCAACCTAAAAAGCCAAGCTACTCTAACAGCTTTTTCACGGAGCCCGACGTGCTCCGAGAGAGTCATCAGTGGAGACACTAAATGATCCAAGCTGCTTCATTTGGTTAATATTTATATTTAAATCCAGCAGACGAAATAAACTCAGTTAAGACTGATTAATTACCGCACACAATCCACATGAAGACCACACGAATGTAAAGCGACGAGAAAATACTATCGATTCGAGCCCGCAGTGAGTGGGAGGTGCTTTAAACAACCACACACAGTACAACTTATCAGATTTACTGTATGTCTAAAATATTTACATACCTTAAACCTCCCTTCAGTCTGCGACACATGCTTAGTAAAAACACTCGGAGTCTTCACTCAGCTGCAGGGAGAAGCTGCAGCAGTTTGTACAATGAGTCTGAGAGATGCGAGTGTAGCACCAACACAAAAGGCCAAGCATGATCGAGACCCTTGTTCCTTTTTTTTTTCGTTATGTTTAAGTCTTATCTTGAGCAGTTTACTGAAGTGTTCAAGTCCACAGCTACTATTGTGGGCAGCTAAAGTAAAACACACCTGGAACAAAAGGCGGACATCGCAGGATTGTATTGTATTTAGCATCCTTTAGTGGGTAAAAATGTGCAACATAAACCGTTCCTTGTTTCAAACCTGTAATTATTGTTTACGTAAATAACAGTTAAATGATTGATTTCTTTGTGAGTAAAGTGGAGATGATTTTAGTAGGAGCGAATGGCTGGAGGAACGTGGGCGCAGTCCTGCTCATCCAGAGAGCTGTCGATAACGGGACGGTACTTCAGCGTCACCTTGAATGATTAGAAAAAAAAAGTTAGGATGATGAGGATATTTAAAGCCGACTGAAGCTCTTAGAGCAGAAATTACCTTTCCAGTTTTGGGGTCGACGTACGACAGAGTGTGTTTCCTCCAGTGCTGATCGAAGGGCTTCTTCTGCTGACCCTCCAGTGGCTTGGAGAAGTCGTACTCGTCCACACGATCCTGAAACCGAGAGGATGAACCGTCAGAGCGCAGACTGGCTCTAAGCATGAGGCACGTCTGTGCAGATGCAATAAATGTCAAGCCTGATGGTTTGGAAAACACAGATAAGGAGGAGACGCATACAGCTTAGAGGTGCATACCACCATTTACTCTACGAGTGTGTAACCTCACAGGCTCCACCAACTAAAATCTGTGTTTTAGTTTCGGATTATATAAATATAAAACAATGCTTTTCTGATAGTACTCATTTTCTCCTTTTTGCTAAATTCATTTAAAAATCCATTCTCTCCCTGCTTCCCTAAATGTAACCCCCTCAGCTGCATTTATCACACACACACACGTCATTTAGATAGATAGGACCTACCAGTAATCTCATCCTTAACAGGTCTTCCATTCTGCTTCCTTTTTCACAATTCTTTGTTGCTATTGATTTTTGTATTTTGTATATTTTTCTTATCTTCAGGCCACCTTTTCTGCCATACCTCATAAATACCTTTGCTCTAACACAACTGATGGGAATAATAGATGATTAACAGGCTTCTGCAAAACCTGAAGAGTGAATTCACTGAATCAGGTGTGTTGGAACAGGGAAACCTCTGAAACATCCAGGATAGTGGCCCCTTGAGGACCAGGATCGGACACTCCTGATGTAGAGAAATGATTTCAAATTTCAACTAACTTTGAAGTCCTCTCTAGCGTGGGCACCCCGGCTCTCCTTTCTTTGTTCGGCTGCGTTGATGGTTTGGACGGCATTCAGCATCAGGTTCTGCAGCTCCAATGATTCCACTAAGTCTGTGTTCCAGACAATACCTGAAGGGAAAAAAACAACCAAACAAACATGAATTTGACTGCAACGTTGTGCGATTAGAGGCACATGAAAAATAACAAGGACAAAAGCACAGTACCTCTGTCAAAGGTCTTGATATTCTCCATGCTCTGGTAAACGTCATCCATCTTATTACATCCCTCTTTGAGAACAGAACCAGTACGGAACACAGCAGCATGGCTTTGCATGGTCTGGATAAATAAAAGGAGGCTTTGTGATGGAAAAATACCTTTTAATGAACTGTTTCTCACAGATCCTGTTTAAGCCCCTTTCACTGATCTAATGTCACTGGCTTTATTGCACCTCTGTACATCGTGTGTTGTCCCTTGTCAGGAAGACAGGAATGTTTTGGGCCAGAACCAGATCATCTGTAATTCATCACTGATTATTTTTATCTTGAGCCAGTACAGAGCCTAGGATGAAGTAAATGTTTATCAAGATAACATCTGTATGTTATGGTTTATGGTGAGTGGGGATGGATAAAGAAACCATATGAGTGGGGGACTCGTAAGTGGGCTCATTGCTCTCCCCAAAAAGACACAGAGCTTCATTCTTTGCATCCCTCAGGTGAAGGACACAAAGTTAGACACAATCAGTGTTCTGAGCTTCTCAGGACCCATAAAGGGATCCCCAATAATTCTTTTCCTTTGACTGCTCACAGCCAGGCAGTGGCCTAAGTAGTGCAAAGAGATCTCTAATTCAATGCCACAGGCATCACACAGACCATTGTCATGGAGTCATTTTGTGGCATTTGAGCAGGTTAGGACTCCAACCAGTGTACTTAGTTTTCTTGTCAGGGCGATGAGAGCTTTCCAAACCTAAGAATTGGGCCATTTATCACTTCCTGTGCCTGTCAACAGTCTGTCAGCTCCCTTCAGCGGACTGAGTGTTGACGTCTGGATCAGACATTTCAACACCAGTCTGTAGGACTGCCCTACAGTGGTGACTGTGGTCACGTAGATCCAGCTGATAATCTTTGGGGTAGCACCCCAACGACTATCTGCAATTCTATGACACTGGTGTAGGCACATTGCTGCCTTCTTACACTTTTCATTTATGTGTCTTTTCCAGTTAAGCTTCCTGTCTAGATCAATACCCAATAATTTAACTGACTCTGACGGAGAGTTTTACTCCCTCCAACTTTGGAGGTGAGTAACCCTTCCTTGACTTCTTATGAGTGAAAAGAAACAATTAAGTTCCTGCTTCTGGCACCATCTGGATACTATGTTCAGTCCCCTCCAGCCTTCTATAAGTATGACCAAGTCATCTACATATCCTTGTGTATGGAGTCTAGATCCACTCAACTCATTTAGTAGACTGTCAACAACACAGGGGTGAGATTACTCCTCCCTGTGGACAGCCCCATCTAAGGTTAACATTTATTAGACAGTCACCCAGAGTTGAGGATGCTTTCTTTGTCTGAATCGTGAAAATGAGCCAATTTATAGTTGTCTTATCCACACCTTTGCTGGCAAGTGCTCTTTCTATAGTTTCTACAGGTGCACTGTCAAACACCCCCTGTGTGTCCAAGAAGTGACTTTTTCCTTTGGATCACGCATTTCTGTTCTTTGTTGAATAATTTCCACAACAGGCATTACTTTTGATTTTCCAGTGAAATACATAGTTTTATAGTTTCAACTTGTGCAAAATGATCTGCAGTCTAAAATAACCACATCAGTGTGTTTATGTTTACCTTCTGCATGTTGAGTCTGATCTCAGAGGTTCTCAGACTCCCATTTGCAAACCTCAGCTTATCCAGGTTGGCCACAGACTCCTCTCCAGCACTGTGCTTCAGAGGGGACATTTTCTCTCCTAAGAAACAGAAAAGTATTAAATCTCCTGTCAAATGTGAAGCAGCCTGAACCAACGCACTGAACTCACCCTTAGCAAAAAGTAGTATATGCTAGTATCCTTTAAGTATACTAATTTTAAACTTAAAATAAAAGAGTATACTTCCAGTTTACTTTTTATGTAGTTATCCAAGATGTACTTAACCAAGTTTATCTTAAACTATACTTGGCTTATACTAAAAGTATACTAAAAAAATTAAGTATACTTAGTCTATACTAATGTTCAACATTTTGGCCAAGATGAACTTTAGCAGTACACTTTTCACACAGACTGGTTTATTTGTACTACATTTCAAGATTAAACTAAACGTATACATAGAATATAGATTACTTTCAGTATACTTTTGAGTACACTTTCATAAACTTGTTGTGGGCCAACTTAGTCCTAGAAGTATAATTGTTAGTAAACTGCTAGCATACTTATACCATTGTACATGGTAAATAAAAGTACACTAAGGAACATACACTTGTATATATTTAGTATACTTCATGACAAGTACTTAAAGTATACTTCTTTTTGGTAAGTTTATAAACATTATAACAGTATACTTAAAGTTTAAACTAAAAATGTCCCAATTTAGTACAAACAAGTATTAAATCAATATACTTTCAAGTATACTACAAGTACATGGTGCCTAGTATACTTGATATACTTAAACTTATACTTAAGTATACTTATTAAAATGAACTTCAAGTATACTTCTTTCTGAATACTGCAAGATGAGCAGAACCACGATCAAACTGTTGTGCTATCTGGTATCAAAAACAAACATCACTCTGTAATTGTTTTCATGGTTTTCATTATCAGGTCTCTCCTGATCTTATTATATATAGACAGAGGTTTTTCACCAGGCTTGTGCAGGTCAGTAATGGTGAGGGCGCAGGCTCTCCCGAACACCACCAGGTCCAGCAGGGAGTTGGCACCCAACCTGTTGGCACCATGAACGCTGGCAGAAGCTGCCTCGCCGCAGGCGTACAGGCCGGGTACCACCATGTCCTTGCCATTGGTATAATCAATCACCTAGTGTGCAGAAAGGATTTTAAATGTTTTCTGGGAATATGTTAATAGAGAGTGAGGCGAGGTGACGGTGTGGTTAAATGCTGCACCTGCCCCTTGTAGTTTGTGGGTATTCCTCCCATGTTGTAGTGAACTGTTGGCAGGACGGGGATGGGCTCTTTGGTGACGTCGACTCCAGCAAAGATCATGGCGGTCTCTGAGATCCCAGGCAGCCTCGAGGCCAGCTGCTGGGGGGGCAGATGGTGGAGCTGCAGGTACACGTGGTCCTTCTCTGGGCCGACACCCCTGAGGGGAGGAAGGTGACGCACAAATTCAGTATCTCGTCTTTAAATACCTTCAGTGACGCGCAGGGCGGGATTCATTCGTACCTCCCCTCTCTGATCTCTATGGTCATGGAGCGGGACACCACGTCTCTAGAAGCCAGGTCTTTGGCGTTGGGTGCGTAACGCTCCATAAAGCGCTCCCCCTCACTGTTGATCAGGATTCCTCCCTCACCACGACAGCCCTCTGTGATGAGGCAGCCAGCTCCATAGATCCCTGAAGGATTCATGTGTTAAAAAGACATTTGTCGGATAAAATACAGCTGTAGACTAATTTCATTTTCTTGGTTTACACGCTCAAAATACAGACTGAATTCAGAAAGAGATGTTATACAGTTCTTCTTGGTTACTAAAGCTAAAGATGAAAACCCATCACTCTTAGGGCTCTAGAGTGCGACTAACTTGGTTGCAAATGCAACCTTATTTTTTAATAGTGCGCCTTACACGCATGTTTGTCTATCCTCATGGGGACTTTCCAATTGGCCCCTCCATGAAGCAAAAACATGCACACACACGTGCTCTGGCGCGCAGTGAATCAACCGTGTTTTTGTTGTTGATTTTTTTTTCCAAACCAGAGTCAGAAAAAGTTTTTTTTTCTTGTTAGCTGTGGAAATTAAATGTGGATGGTTGCTTGCTCTTAAGTCTCAGTAGTAAAGTCCATCTTGCAGTCTGGTTCTGCTCAGCAGCATGAGGAAGCTCACCTGTATGGCAGGCTGGTTTTACATATAATCGGCTTCACCACAGTTACGTTCCAGGTTCTGAAAATGATTTTATGACTACACCGTTTCGTTTTTTTGGTGAGAGATACATAAAATTCAACTAATACAAATTAAATTGAAGACTTTTTCATGTTATGTTATTTTCATTATTTTAAAAAAGCTTTTTCACATTTAATAAATATTAGTAATATTTCAGCTGTAAATCATAATTCTCTGTTCATCATTCTGGTTTAACCAAGGCCAAAGATCCTGAAGGCCAAATTACAGGAGTTGTCAGTATCTGAGGGGCAGGTGTCTAAAAGACATTTAACCATGAAATGTTTAAGACGTTTACAAAATGTTCAACCCTTAAACATTTGCACTTAGAATTTCTTTCTTTTCATTTATCTTCAGATGTTTAAGTTAAAATTTCAGGTCATAGAATCACTTTAAAATTACTTTTCAGTAAGTCAGTATCTATGGTTCTGGTTCAAACATAGAACTTTATTTTTGTTATATTGTAAACAAATTATTTATGAGTTAATGTTGCCTTAATGGACAATGATTTTAAAAAAAGTGAACCATTAAAACATCAATGTTAAATGTGATGTGTTTGCAAATTTGGGTGCACCTGACTTTTGTACTGGTGCACCAAAGGAGAAATGTTAAGCAAACCGGTGCAACCAGTGCAAAAAGTTAGTCTAGAGCCCTGGTGACGCAAACATGAGTTGAAGAAATGAAGAGCTGACCCTTCATCTGATGATGTCATCATTCTCTGTGATGATTTTTTTTAAATATCGCTCTTTTGAATTTAATAACACAATGACAAACTCGCCCTTAGTGTTTACCTTTATCACCAAACATCAACATGCACATTACAAGTTATGTTTAAAGAAAAGACAATGTATGAACATACTTAATAAAAACCACATCACTGATAATACAGAAGCTGAAAAATAAACTTTCAAAACAACTCTCTCAGACACAATAAATGGTTTATTTTCTCACCAGTGGGGTGAAACTGGACAAACTCCAAATCCTGGCAGGGCAGGCCAGCTCTGGTCACCATGGCTGTCCCGTCTCCTGTGCTTGTGTGGGCAGATGTGCAGCTGAAATAGGTTCTTCCATAACCTCTGGAAGAAAATACATTTTTTTAATCAACTTTTATTCTATTCTAGCAACACGTTTAAAAATAAATTGATGTCTTGTAATAACCGTCTCCATTTAACTAAGCTAAAACTTAACGCATGTCCTACCCTGTGGCAATGACAGTGTTCTGGGCTCTGATGCGGTGAATAGAGCCATCCTCCATGCAGAGACAAATCACTCCTTTACACACTCCATCTTCCATCAACAAATCCAGAGCAAAGTACTCCACAAAGTAGCTGGTGTCGTAACGAAGTGACTGAACAGAAAGAGAAGGACTGATGAGTTGAAATGCTTAAAATGGTATTTAAGAAAAATAAGCTTCTCGGAGCATTTCCTAAAACTCAAGGCAGGAAATAAAAACGTGATTACCCTTCCGTAGAGCGTATGCAGCAGTGAGTGTCCTGTCCTGTCTGCCACACAGCAACAGCGATGAGCCTGGCCTCCCTTTCCATACTTAAGACTCTGACCTCCAAATGCTCTTTGGTAGATCTTCCCATCTTCAGTACGGCTGAACGGCATGCCAAAGTTCTCCAGCTGAAATAAAAAAAGCAACATGAGCTTCTATTTATACTACTGAAAGTCCATTTATCTTATATCATAATAATAATTCATTTATTTATTCATTTCATTAAAAATAATTTATTTATTTATTCATTTCATTTAAAAAAAAAACATTTTACACAAAACAAAACAAACTAGAGAAATTGCATTTCCTGCAAAAATGCTAGTGTGAATGCCTGTTGCTGAAAGTTGCTGAAATTGAGCTGAGAATGTTTAATAGCAAAAGTAATATTCCAAGTCAAACTTTAAAAGCTGAAAGAAGCAAAAGATAAAACAGAAAAACAGTAAAAAGGGAGCAAAAATATAGTTAAAATAGCATAAAAACGCTAAATGCTAAAATAGCTTAATTAAGCAGAAAGCACCTGTAAGAAACATGCATAACACAAAGTACCAGAAAAAAAAAACACCAAAAAGCAAAAAAATAGCATAGGAATAGTAGAAAATAGAACTACAGATAAAATAGCAGAAAAAAGCTAAAATTAGCATAAAAGCTAACCAAAAGTAGAAGCCAGAATCTGGAAACATTTTATTTAGCATAAGAATACATAGGGAGTACTACCTTGGTGAATTTAGCAGAATTAAGTTGTAATTGCTACAAACAAAATATTTATATAGCCTAAAAAGCTCATTTTAGCTATTAACAGCTAAAATGTAGCTCAATTTGTAGAAACTATCGGAATAAAGTAGAAAGCAACTGTAAGAAACAAATAGTTCAAATTAGCAGGAAAAAAAGCACAAATAAATCAGAAGAATAGCACAAAGAAGCAGAACTATAGCTGAAATAGCAGAAAACAGCCAAAGTTGGTAAAAAAAAGTTTCTAAAAATTGCACAAGGGAGTAAAAAAGGAGCACAACCAGAATAAATTGTGTAAGGTTTTGTAAAGATTTAGAAACTATTTGAAGGATTTGAAGGTTGTTGAAAATAGCCCCATTCAAAGTCAATGGGGAAAAAAAGTGGCTAAAAAAGTTGAAATAGCTAAAAAGCTATAAACAGCTGAAATACCAAAAGTCATAGCAGGCATTGCACAAAACAGCTGAACGTTTTGATATATGAATAGTTGAAGTAGCACAAAAATTGTGGAATGAGAAAGGTGCTGAAAAACGTATGGAAAACGTACGGAAGAAAAAAGGATCTCAATTGTGTGAATGCTATACAGGAATTCACACAATAAAATAAAAGGCAGCAGAAGAAGAAAAAAATTCTTATATCTGCACCTTTTAAAAAATTTTCAAACAATGATAAACCAAATAATAAAAAACTAATTAAACTCCTCAAACAGTAACTAATACAAACTAAACAATTTCCTATTTAACAATTTTTCTTTGATCGTTTTCTAACACAACATAAACAAAATCATGTCAACTAGGCAAATGTTCCACATTTAAACTGAATGTGCACCACTGGATTTACATCTTTAGTGAACAGTGTCTAAGGTGTTAGCTAAAACAGTACCCAGTATACTCGTCACATGTCTGTGTGAGTGACCTCACCTCCACTACGGCTGCAGGAGCCTGCTCTGTCATGTAGTGGATAGCATCTTGGTCTCCGAGCCAATCAGAACCCTTCACTGTGTCATAGAAATGCCACCGCCAGTCATCTTCCTCCATGTTACCCAGAGCTGCATTGATCCCGCCCTACGAACCAAGAGAAGATCGGAAGATTCAGCAAAACTGAAAAAAGAAAAAAACACTGCTGCTGTACAAGTCGAATTAAAGGGTTATTAATCCAGAATAATAAAGCTAATAAAGTACTGATCTTAGATTAATTAAACAGGATGCTCTTCTACCTGTGCAGCGACAGTATGTGACCTGGTGGGGAAGAGCTTGGTGACACATGCAGTGTTGAAACCAGCCTCCGACAGGCCGAAAGCAGCCCGAAGTCCTGCTCCTCCAGCTCCAACAACCACGGCATCAAACTCATGATCTACTACTGGATACTGAGTGGAGATCTGAGGACAATCAGACACAGACGGAAAGGTATTGTGACCCAAATTTTATATCACAGTATTAAACAATTATCCACTGATACCTCTAATAAAAAACACTGCAGACACAGTATATTCATCAATGCAAGCATCACAATCTACAGAATAAACTGTACCATAAATATCCATACAATGAAGCCTAATAGTGTTAATGTTCATGGCAAACAATACAACTCACATCATCTGATACTTTGGCGCTTTTCTTCTTGCCATAAATGGAGAAGTGAAAGTTTCTGGAACCATGAACTGCAGCAGCAGGGACCTGACAGAGAAACCAAACAATTACACATATGAGAATTACACTGACAGCATACCCACAAAAAACAAAAGCAAACTATAAACAAATACTTCAGGATTAATTTAAACATTATGAATATTATAAAGCAGTTTATTTTGTTTTGATACAGCTTCACTCAAGCCCACCGGTAATTTATTTGTTGTAGGAAAGAAATGAATTACATGTATAGGAAAATCTTTGGTTGTGAGCTTAAATCTGTAGTCTGTGGTGGTGGTGGTGGTGGTGGTG